ACCACGTGAGACAGGAGCGAATTCGCGAGCGCGGCCGCCTCGTCATCCAAGAATTTTGAGTGGTAACTACGCAAAACACGGATGACACAAAACCATTCTGCAGTGTCCAGTGCTGTTAAGAGGGGTATGGTGGAGAAATTCAGATTAAAAGAACGTGTTATGGTCATAGAAAAGCGAATTTTATTATTCTTCTTTGTGATAGACAAAAGTATTTTTGACATGGTCGTTGTGGGAAAAACATTAATTTTCCTATCTGTGAGGGTTTTTGTTCACTTCTGCTTTTTATCTTTAATTACATAGATGAGAGTAAGAAGACGAGGAATGAACCGAGCTACCTATTTCGTAGCGCATAGAATGGTTGAGACGCGTTACCGCGTCACGCAGTCGTCAATGTTTTTAGGTAATTTCGAGGCATTGATCACAGGGTCATTCATTTTTTTTGTCATGCTCTGTACAACAGAATACTTTGTCACCATCATTTTACGACTTCGTCTGTTTGTTATCTCTTTTTTGTGTGTATAAAGCATTGTTTTCGCGGGAGTGTAATTCTTTGCCGAATGTTATAAGATCGCTTAATGTCTGTTAGCATATCTAAGGTCTTAAATGGAATTTGAAAGTGTAATGATATGTTTCTGTTCACATCAGAACTAGATGCGAATATTGCTGTTCTTCGTACTTGCCAGTTTCCTTGCTCAACACGCACTGTCTGAGCCAATCTCGTTATTCACTGGTACGTTCATTTTATCTGTATTCCATTTTGAACATTTCCTCTGTTAATTTTTAAGGTGCGGCAGTGACGTTTGGAACAGGTGTTTTATGGACCTTCCAGCAGAAGATCAAATGTCGCTTGTATGAGTGTTGCGATCATCCTTATTTGAATCCACGTTTCGACAGTATGTTCTATAATTATTTGTCACAACTTCAAAACTGAGTAACAGTGCTAGTTTTTGTTTTACATGGGAGCAAGCATGCATTCTCCAGCACAAACGTGTAACACAACGCGGCGTCGCGCTTCTTGCCGTTCGGGTTTCGCACGCCTTAGTTATGTTGCTGCGAATTCTGCGTGTAGTGAACAATACGTATCGCACTTTCTCAGCAAGTGAAACTGCCCTGTTACTCGAATCCGAAATGTCTTGTTCTCCGCTTCGGAACTTTTCCTCACACTTGTTTCAATACTGCAAAATAGACCGCTTATCGCGTATCTAGCTACCATTGCCTATAAATTCGAAATCTCCACTCTTGAATTGATCATTCACTGAAAGAAATTTTCGCCGTTTCTAATACTGCGCTAAACACCCACCATATTTCATTTGCATTTAGAGCTGCGTCGTGATTTACGAGAATTGGTGTATGGGCAACATCTGGTGGTTGACACGGTCGAGAATGCAATACGTGCTCATTGGACTAACGATAATCCTAAGAAGCCATTGGCTATGTCTTTTCATGGTTTCACTGGATCTGGAAAAAACTACGTCGCCGAAATTATCGCTAATAGCACATTTAAGTAAGATCAATCGGTGATTATCTTTTATTTCAGTGGATGACGCCAGTTCTTACGTTTATTCTTCTATTTTGCGTTCATTTTTATAGAATTTATATATGTTTCAGGAAAGGCATGAGAAGCAACTTTGTGCATCAGATTGTCGCAAGTTCTGAGTTTTATGATAAGGACAAGATTGGCGAATACAAGGTACGCCATTTAGTCTTCAGTCTTTGCACTCAGTTTTTTTTTGACACTGCTGTATCCACTTGTATTGTTGTTCTAGTCTTCACCACGTTGTACTGCAAAGTGTGCTACTCCAATCTTCTGTTCATCGCCTAAATTTATGACAGTGCGTTGAATCTTTCAGGTACAATTACGTGCCCGAATACTGGATGCAGTAAAAAAATGTGGCAGAGCAATGATAATTTTTGACGAGGCTGACAAACTCCCTGAGCAATTACTTGGTAAGTATAAATTTTTTCCTGTTTTTGAAAGTTGTTCCATGATTCATGGTTGATTTTTTCGTCACTTCCAAATAACGATTGGAATTCTTGAGTCTAGAGCTTTCGTGTTTTTAGAGGTTGTGAAGCCATTCCTCGACTATTACGACACGGTTGGAGGTGTCGACTTTCGTAAGAGCACATTTTTATTCCTCAGGCATGTTCCTTTTTCCTTACACACCTCCTTATTGTAACGACGAGATAATCAGGAATTCTCTGATCATTTTCCTCTTGTGTTAAAATTCCTCATGGCCTTTCATGCGCTTCCATTATATTGGCATTTGACATCGTCGTCATAAAATCTCCCGCTCTTCTTACTTTGACATGCCTTGCTTGTGTGGATTCCACGCCCGTTTACCCAGCTCCACTATTTTATTTGTTTTTGTTATTTCTAAGGGAAGGTGAGTCTGCTCCATTACCATAGCTGTTGTCTATCACTTCATTATGTGCTTTTTGTAGACAACCTGTTATTGGTGATTCGGGCACCTTTAGTTTGAAACGAACGTGTTTAGCCATTACTGAAGAGTGTTGCTTGTTCTTTGAGCCATTCCATGGTCGTAGTGTTTTTAGCAATCGTGGCGGGCAGCTAATTGCGAACTTGGCGTTGAGCCATCACCAATCTGGCAATACTCGCGAAGATCTAACTTTGAGTAATTTCGAGAGGATGCTAATGCAAGCGGCTTATAACGAGCCAGGTAAGCGAGCACAATTTCAACTACCGTAATGTGGAGGGGCAAGAGAGAGAAAGAGACAGAGACCGAGGGAGAGGTGTTCTTGTCAGTCTGTCTTAGGCTGAACGTTAACATTTCAGGAGGACTTAAATTATGCGAGCTCATTTCAAGTCACTTGATTGATCATTTTGTTCCATTTCTTCCGATGGAGCGACGGCATGTCATACTATGCACAATAGGCTATCTCAAGTCACAAGGGAGAGAAGATCTTATAAAGGATGACGAATTAGTGCAGCGCATTGTTGACTCGCTGCAGGTATGGTTTTGGTTGATTTATTTCTTATGCGGTTGTCAAGCTCTCTATTTCGATTTACATCCCATGATTTGTTTCAGTATTTCCCTCAAGAACAGAAGGTATTCTCAAGTTCTGGTTGTAAACGAATTCCAGCCAAAGCAGATTTGGAAATTGCTAAGCGCACTCTGCCTTCCAAAGCAGTTAAACACTTGAGAATCGATGACAATGATGAACTCTAGCTCATAATTTTCAAAATATGTTCAAAGTTGTGTCGATATTTTCTAATTTTGTAGCTTTATTTTCATCTTGTGAGTTTTAATAGTCTAATGTACTAGCATGATACTCTAAAGATTGTTTACAAAAGATTAAGGGCGTTTCTGCTCATTTTTAACTACTCCGATTTGTATTGAACTCGTTTGTTAGTATTCGGTGCCGCTTTGTGTGATTTTCGTATACGGTTCAAGTTTAGAGTGTTCTTCTGTACATACGCTGCGCTAGTCATCTTGTCATATTCCTTTCTAGGGTTTTCTTGCCGACGGCACCATGCAAGGATTGATGGTTAACGCTACAATCTTCATTCCTTCAGATTCCATGGGGTAGTCCTGGGCATTATTTTGAATTATGCTACAACTTTCAAACTGCAGCCAATGCTAAGAACTTGCACGGTAACCCAGCAAACCTAATAATCAAACAATCATTGCATGGTGTTTCCCAAATGTTCTTGTTTTATTATTGACTGTTCTATGTTTTCAATCTTAAATGTTCTCATGGCCTCTAAATTGTGATATGTTTTGAAGGCTGTATGAAAATGCAAAAAATAGTTTATTCCAAGTATTTATATGGGCAGTCAGTGTATGGTGACGATTCCATACGTAACTGGATGCAGCGGTTAGCTCACATCCATTTTGGCAGAGCAGCATACTGATCGTTGTAGTATATCTCTCGGTGCCTTTACACACCTAGCTGGCTCTAAAAGAGTATTTCTTGCTGAAGCAATTTCAATGATTATCCCTTCATCAATTACCTGGACATGTAGTTGTCATCTGGTCACTTTCCGTGCACTCCCTAATTAACTGGGAATCTGTGAGGAAGGATGGTAAAAGAGTGTCCGGGCACGTCAACACTGTCATCAAGTCGAAGAATAGTGATCGCGACACCATATGATTCCCAGATCGGCTATCACCACCTGAGAGGAAGGATTGCTCGGTTATATGAATATGCACATTGGCTCCACGTGGGAGGAGCTATGTTTCCTCTCTACCTCCACATAACCTTGGTAAAATGCTGATTGGCGGTAGAAGTTGCTCCAATTTACATGTCGAGCAAAGTCATGTAGAAGTAGAGGGAAAACGGAGAACCTTGTACCTACCCCTCTCGACTGGAAAAATAGGTCGTTGAGGCGTTTTATACTCCTGATCTCATTTAGAATCTTATTTATTTCACCGATTGTACGATGAGCGCGATGCTACGGCATGACACAAGCGCCAGGTGACGTGACAACTAATAATGGATAGGTTAGGGTGACGAAATCATTCTTTCACTCTCATTATCAAACCTAGGAGTTTTCTTTTTTTTCTGTCTCCTGGAGTTAGCTCTCACTTTTTGCTTGCGACACAAGTATCCCACTTGTCCATTCAGCACGTTGATAATATCGCGCATTTCGGGTTTCCGCACCGCGTGGACAAGAGCGATTTTGCGAGCACCGCTGCCGCACACCCACTCCTTGAGCGCTCTTTTTCTGTGGGTCCTGTTACTCCGGGTCACTTCACGGGGTTGTCTGACTTTCTGTGGTCGAAATTAACTATCGGACAAGATGCGTTGCTCTGCGGTTCACTGACAGAATCTAAATCTTTCCCTAGAAAATGACGTGCAGGCATATTCTCGCTCGGTTGTGTCGTTCGAATTCCGTCATTATTCCGTTTTGTTTTATCCCAACAATAGGTGTAAGTGTTTAGGAAGGAAGAGCATGAGAAGGCAGAGAGAGGAAGAGGACACAAAAGGAGGAATGTACAACAGGGTAAACAGGCGTGAGAAGGTCCGTCGTTAGGTCTGGGAACACGTCTGCCAAACTGAAGAATATTTGGCCTTTCTGTGAGCCATGTGGTTTTTAAGTATGCTAATGTATGGCCTATAGAATGAGTACAAAGACCTTAGGAATAAGTCGCACAAGCGCAAGAAAAAGGGATGACTTGGGTGGGACGCGTTACCGCGTCACAATGTCCCACGAGGTGTGCAAAGTGGGACGCGTTACCGCGTCACGCTGTCGTCAACGTGTGAATTGTCAATTTTTAGCATCATCATCTACATAAGGCCGCAGTTTCTTCACTAATGTGAGCTGTCTCAGCTAGTTGAAGGTTGTAGAGGGCCTACCAAACAAATGCGGCATGCATGATAGCTCACTGAAGATGAGAACAATTTACTACAACATTACTTCGCTTTTGTCCACCGGAGCCACATTTGAGCTACGTTTGTAGCTGCTTTGCCAGGCCTGGCAGTGTAGATGGATAGGTGAGACATCGCTATATACTCAGAGTTACTCCATTACCATTTCTCTCCCCTACTAGTGATAGGACAGACCTCCATACTGTTGCCGATGCCGACCTCCTGTTCAGAAACCGCGTGGTGAGGGTGCTAGAGTGTTGTCATTATGGCAAATGCGCAAGGTGTTGCTCGCAGGAGACACTGGTTTGTACAACGGCTGGCCCCGCAATTCATCAAAGGCAAAGGTCAGGATTAGGTGACCAAACCAATCCCTTTCATCATCTCTGTGCGTGGTTACGCACCCACAAAGACGTTGCCACGCTCAGAATCCCAAACGGCGCGGTAATAAAGCCCCAGGGATGCATTGTTCGCTATCGCCGCCTGGCGGCGCTATGACCGCCCACCTCCGGAAGTGGTGCGTGGCTGGCTAACGTGTGAAATCAGCTGGGTTGATTGCCGTATCAACCGACGGCACAGAGCCAGCAATGGCCGGCATGTCCAAAAAACTCGTTTGGACGTTTCTTTCGTTTTTTCCCACTGTCGTTCCGTTTCGCAACTCTACACTCAGTTTCACCATAATACCCCATATCGAGCCCGACCTTTGCCCTTAAAGCGGCCAAAACACATTCGGCGGCGGCAAGCGCAAATGCTTTATCATTTTTTCAACCACATCCATCCGACTAACCGTCAAATATCTATACACACCTATGCTCTGAAGGTAAGTTATTTGGACGCCATCGCTTCACTGGTACATTTGATTATGGCCCAACACAGCACAGACTACCCCTTTGAAAGCTGAAGTTCATTTACTGAATATCATTAATGTAGAAGAATTCATATGTAACTAGCATGACTGCGAAAGTTTTACAGGGGAAGAGAAAGGTGACGCTCGAGCAAAATCTCTTCGCAGACCTACAAGGAAGTTTGCGTGCGGCCCTGCTTTTTGTACCATGTCGTGGTTCGGGAGCGGTTGCCCTCCTAACCCTCCAACACGACGCATCGAGGTGGTTCGGGGCCCCCGTGGCCTTTCCCAGGCACACGTCGTTCTACGGGTCCTTCCCGGGGATCATGCGGTTTCCCGCACGCATGACCTCCGCACCCCGGGGCCTTACAGGGTTCCTAACCCAGGAACGGGGGGTTACAGGGCCATGCCCCGCGGTAACAACCCCTTGATGCACGCAGCACATGATGACCTATTGCGCCTTAACCGGGCCCCAGCCCTGGCGCTCCCCCAAGCTTACCCGTGCTGCTATACTTGTACACAACACTACACATCTTGGACTCATAGTTTATTGGCGATAACGTCCTTAACGCACTACAACTTAACTTCCTGCCGAGCGTGGAGAAGCCCGGCCAACGCTTGTAGTGTCTGCAGCCAATAGCGGTAACTGCGGTAACAACGGCCTGCAGCCGATAGTGTCCCTCGGGTGTAGCGGGACACTAACTTACCAGCGCTCCGAGCGAACGGGACAGCATGCCCGAACATGCTGACGGGTGCTAGCAGGCACCCCTAGCCGTTCGCCTTCCTCGCGTTGCCCGACGACCGTCTCTCCCGGAGGAGACGAAGAGCGCCGACTGGCAGAGGCGACCCTTTATATAGGCCTCGGCTGGAGGCGTGGCCGGAGGCGGAGCACGCGCCTCTCGCCGGTGCGTGCGCCGCCAAGCGACCAACGGCGCGACAGGGGGCCGGGCGCGCGGTGCGCCCACGACCGTCGTCGCGAACCGCGACAAACGGTGTTCGCAGGGGGTAGGAGTACATGCATGGGACATAGAGCTATGGCTTATGTTTCCTGAGCGGCCGTCTGAATACCAGAAAAAAAAGTTGAAAGAGTATAAGCGTCACACCAATTTGACATCAGTTTGTGGCAAAAACCTACTCACATCAACATAACGTAAGCGTCAACCGAATATGCTAAACTTTGTCGCCACGGGCAATCGAACGGAGAACCAATCTTTTATCCCTACGGTGGCGTTCAGAGGGCCACTCAGGGAAAATGAAGCATAGTTCCATGTTCTGTATACGCGCGCCTATGCAACGCAAAAAATACCGTTTTAAAAAAGCAGGCCACGGTCTGGAAGTCCTTTCTTGTTAGGTACACAAGGTTAGCCGTTGGCGACGAGGAGAAATTTCAAAAATTTTACCATCCTTCTCCGAAGGGGTCATCCTCTACGACTCCCAACCACCACCCTTATCACCATGGCTGTTTCTACAGCTAGATACAGAGGCTAGCAGACGCGCTCCAACTCCATCCACTTTTTCTCCTTTTCCTACATACGTAAAGCGGGTATGGAGTTTAGGGGGAAGGGAGAGACCATGATTTGGGGAGTGCTTATTTTTTTGTAAATATCGCCCGTCGTTTTCAAATTTCCACCGAAAGTTCCCTTCTGAAACTTTTGAGTACGACCCTCTCGGCCTGTCTACTACCCCCGGGATGGAGCAGGTGAGCTCGCGTAAACCTGGAGCGTGCCCTTGAGGAAGAAGTAACAGTAGATGGTCGCTTCAACTAAAGGTCTTCCTAATGATCGCTTTGACCGGTCTTCCAAAGCTGCTGCTCATCGAGAAATCCGAGTACAGTGCAGTGTATGTATGTGTTACGTGATGAAATCTTTCACTTACTCGACTCGATCGTTGAGTTGAGCCCGTCGGCGATGCTGAGATTTTGCAACCAGCGTGGCTCTTCCACTTCTGTAGCCAGCTGCTCTGAAAACAAGCGCTATTCGATAATATCGTAATTATTATGACAGATATTCCAATCTGCTGATGCCAATGTAGAACATTTCGCTGAAGACAAATTTCGCATTTGAACGGATGAATGTTGTCGTGTCCGAAATGAAAGCAATAGGCTGTTTCAGTCGATCAGTAGTGAATGATAGGAAAAAACTGCTCTTTGTGCCGACCGTACGGACCAGCCTGAGTCTGACGTTCTTCTCACTGTACAGGGCCTTCTTCTTTACACGTTATGAGGGCCTGGAGATTTCGGGAGTGACCACGAATCAGCACAATGGGCTCTTAGCAAATTTGATTACTATTTTTTATTACTGGTCGACTGAACATAAAGGAATGTACTTTTAAACAAGGGTCCGCAGAATTTTCCATTGGGCTATGGATTGTGATAATCTCACTCAAGAACTGTCAAAACTTAGATTCATAAGGTCATAAACTATTAGTGAAAGGAAAAGAAAACCTTCAGCCTCGCGGTCATTGCCGATGTCGGCTAACCGGCTCAACCCGTTATACGTGTGAGTGCTGAAAGCTATGGTACGTATACCATGAAAAGCTGAGTTGGAATGAAATGGTACTACAGTAAAGTAACTGGTAGCACAAGGTGCGAGTTCAAGTCCCATCTAGGGCGAAAGTTTTGTTCATAACCTAGAGTTCTTGTGAGAGGGAACTTCGTCTACTTTTTATCTTGAATGTATCTTAGGTTGAAAGTGCTTGGCGCCTCTCATTTGTCCTGGAATGCGCCAAGCACTTGGTTCATGTTGCAGTAGCAGGTATTTGAAGGTATTTAGTGTACGCCACACATAGGGCTCCTGACGTGTAATGGTCACCTAGGGAAACTAAACGCGAGCTCTATCCTTATTCCCTCATAAAAAAAACTTACTGGTGCCGGTAGCGGGTGAGTCTGGACAACAGAATCCGACAATGGAGCCGCTTTCGCTTTGACAGCTGTAGCCGACCCTGAAAGAGTGTTCAAGTAGCGTTGGGAACTTCTTATTTTATCGTTTGAATGAACGAATTTGAATGGGTTATTCGATCCATGTCGCACTCCGGATGCGTATAGCTTGTGTAGAAACCGTTTTGGAATCAGAATTCATGGTTCGTCGCAAGTACAATTCAGTTCGAGTGATCTACTAATAATATAGAAGTGGTCATATTCAAGCAGATCAAAATTCGTACAACACAACTTCAAGTAAGTGCTAGGTATAATTACTGATATTCATGACTCGTTTTTCTCTCCATAAAATATCACTCTTTGCCTTCTGCTTTTGGTCCCAGAAGCTTAAAAGTCTCGCACGGCACACGCTCTATCGCAAGCATGGTCTTAGAGCACTTCTCAACCGCAAGCTCAAAGCTTCGTGGTTTAGCGCTTTCTGAGGTTACTGGGCAGTCTCGTATATGACACAATACGGTATCTATGCTTTATTTCCTTTTTTGAAGGGCTGAGCCTTAGTAATACACAAAGCATGTGCTCTTCTTTCTGGACTCTCATGCGTTGGCTGGCAACAACCCTGTATCGCGTTCGAAATAGGAACCTGATTTTGAGTTTTCAGTGATGAGTAGTGGAAGACGATGAGAATTGAAGCAGACATATGAACTAAGAATTCGTAGCCCGCTAATCTTGAACCTGGCGTTCCGGGTTAGGAAATCCTCTTATCTTTGTGGCTTACCTGCATGTTGTCACATTAACTGTACATTTTTGCGGTTGACCACTATCAGGATTCACAAACGGTCTCGAGTTATTCGGACACCATCCTGAAACGATGCTTTCGCCATTTGTGAGCAAATTGAGCACAATCCTGTTAACCTTCTGGTCCTCCACTCTTTTATTTCTGTTTTCTCGTTAAGAACAAAGTGAGCCTAACACCAAACTTTTTCAAACTTCAATTTAAGTTACGCACGCTGAAGAGTTCACACCTGTTATATTAGAAGAGCAACAGAAACCCCAGAGTGAACGCTCTTTACATTCCGAATCCTTTGCTGCCAATGCGCTGTCAGCTCCCACCGGCTGCACTCCCTGGGTGAACAGATGAGGAATGGGGATCTGGAGATTGTCCAAGCGGGCAGATATCTGAAACATTTCTGCCATCATTAGATGTAAGTAAGCAATAAACCCTTACGAATGTGATGCCGAGGTTTGCTTTACGCCTATGATAATATTTTACAGCTTCCAAAGAAATCTTATTTTCATAGCTTTGTGTGGGATTGCCTTCTGTTCAAAATGGACAAATGACAATGAAAATACGCAGAGTACGGAAAATGATAAAACAGTTCTACGGTATGGCATATTTATCCTTGGAAACCTACATTATAATTATAGAAAATAAACAATATCAATTTTCCCAGAACACCTTGTAAGCTCTTTCCTTTTTAATATGCAGAAAAACTAAGTGCTCGACAGTGCTTAGTGCTTTAGGATGCGCCACACACGTAATTTCTACTCCGAGTCGACACGTGAATGCGTAGTGGGTCATGTGGCAGCCATTAAAGTTCAGACTTGTATTTTTTCCTTTACATTCTTACTTTCGAATTGCACGGCCGAGCGGGACAAAGAGTTCGATCCACCGATTTAATGCGGCGCTTTTAGTAAAACACCACGTGTATGTCTTCAAATGTGCAGCTAGCTACATAGTTCTAATCCAATTCACGATCTTTTTTTATTTTGTGCTTTTTCCTAGCTCTCTCCTTGCACTCGTCAGTAAATTACTCTTTTCACTTCTAATGCATCGATTTTGTCCTGAAATGACCGCTTACGCTCTCATCAAAAGTCGGTCATATTTTTCAGTTTGAGAGCAATGATTGCGAAAACTTGAAAGTGAAGGCAATTCAAGAATATCATCGGTATAAAGGCGCGGCGGTCGAAAAGAAGTCGAAGTTATCTGAAGAATACTCTTGCGCCGCTGGGAGTTGAGTTAACCGCCTTTAAAGGCTTTCTTTAAGCTCGCGTAATTTCCGGCATTAAAGGCGAAAAGGTTCAAGTTGGAGCTTTATCAAGCAAATCGCCAAATGTCTTCAACATCCAGGGGGAGCATAAAAGAAGTCACTTCCCTTCACATTCAAAACGGGTTAATCACACGTTGCAAAACCAGATCCCAGCTGAATATTGAAGAGCACATTTTCTGGGGGTAGTCAGGAAATTCAACAAACGGAATGTAGAGACCGCTATAATATGTAGTTCTCAGGTTGGATCAACTTTTTCTATAGCATATGTGATTTGACATTAGCGCTTTCGGATCAATTGCTACTCAGATTTTTGGACCTGATCGAGTTCCTTCCTTACCTCTCGGTTTGCAACAATATCCATTCTGCTCACGTCCTACGCAAACAAAGCCTTCTGGGCAATGATCAGAGTGGGCTGATGGCGAACAACTCAGTGCTGAGTCTGTTGCAGGAGAGGCGTACGATACAAAGCCCATGGGACAAACGCCATCTGGAAAAAATAGTTGTAATCTCTTCTTTTACTTGTTTCCAAAAGTAGCTGAAATTTACGAAATTTCAGAATACCTGGGAACCGTGGGCCACCAGCTTCATTTTGAGCACAGTTTCAACTGGTTGGCATGTGCAAAAGCTCATACTCTATCAAGACCTTCCCATAGAAGGTGGGGGGGGGGGGGGGTCGTGGAAATTTTTTGAAATCGTAACAAAAGAAGGTCGTTCACGATTTGTAGCGAGGTTCTGTTCCTACCGATGTTCGAAGATCCACAGCAATAGTGTTTCCGGAAGAGTTCGTTGTAGACGCATCTGAAACCTTGTGGGCACATCGACGGCTTCTCACATATTAGTGGCGTATGCGATGAAGAGCCAGCAAGTGATTCACCAGGTTCACACGCTGAATAACGCCTTGACCACTCTTTCTCCTAACTAGTTTGAGAGCTCACCTGAACTGCTACAAAAGCGATAGCACTCTGCTTCCGTTGCAAATCGATTTTCATTGCCACCGTGACAATTCAAGAAGAGGAATTTCTTGCATCTAGAATAATCATTATTCTCCGTTCAGAGCATCTAAGCACATCTCGTTAGACGAAAAGTACGTTTTGCACGTCTAATTTGCAAGTCACTTTAAAGGCAAATCACGTTAAGAACCGTAGCGACATTGACCAAATTCGTTTTGAGTCTCACTACAACACAGTATGAAGTTGGATGATTGGCACT